GTGTCCCCTGTCAGACACGCCGTGCATGAAGGTGGTTCTGCTGTGGTGTCATCATTCACAGACCATATGTAGCCGAGACCCACAATTTTATGCCTCCTCCCTCTATACAATTGGGCAACAATCAAGTAATTCCTTGGAAATTAGAGGTTATAGTTGCTACAGTCAAAACAGTGACAGCACATCCTCCACACTGCCAGGCACTCCCGGTTCTTGTGCTTCGACACCATCTGTGGTTCTCGCTATGGTTTTATTGCAAAATACTTTTTTTTTAATCCTAAACAAAGACACTGCACTGATGACAAGTTGAGACAGTTGAGGTTGATGGTGAAGATAATGAGTAACATTACTGTTTTGTTCTCTTTTTTGCTAGAAATAATGGAAAACCACTTTATTTTACTACTAACTGGGAACAAAAGCTACACAAGCTCTCACTGCCAGGAACAGGATTTTCTACTTCTCACAGATCTTCTTGGTTTTGATATGTAAATGAACATTAAAAAAAACCCAACTCAATTCATTAGCCTAAAATAACAAGCAGTATTTTGAAAAAACAAATTTAACAGTAACCTTGTTTTATGGATGCACACTACAGCTATATCAGGATATTTCTGCTCCACTTTAGCAAAAGTGATTTTTTTGTTGACTCCGGTTGGTTCTGTGTAAAACAGAGACCAAACTGTTCCATAATTAACGAAGTTTTAATCTTTAGATGACTTTACTAATACAACTAAAGCTGGTTCATGGTTTGTTTATCAGGCCTTCTGCCATCATTCTGAACTTTCTTTAGCACATTTTGAGTTAATTGCCACAATTCTTGTGCCCGGACAACAATTGTTTTAACCTCAGTAAAGAATCTGAAAGTTATCACTAATCATTACTGAAGCTGGAGAAGGAATCCTCACAGATTTGATGGATGCTGGCTACTGGAGAAACACAGCATGCAGCTATGGAAGGAAAACTACTGATATGAGAGGGAGTTTACCAGCAGGGTTTTATTCAAAACACCTATGAAAGAATGATAAAACCTGCTGTTAATACAACACTGGGAATAGAGTCCATGCAGAGGAGGAGTGACATGCAGTTAAAACTGAATGAGCTTCAAGACAATGGTAAGAGAAGTGGGATGGAATTCAGTGGCATCAAAGACAAAGCTGTGCAGTAACAACAAAAAATTCAGCTGTAGGTTGGTAGCTCAGCATCTGGAAGCAACTGAGAAGGACCTTTGTTACTGACAGTGGGTAGTCAGTGTGAGGACATTAAAGAAAGCCAACATTTCAAAACCACAACAGCAGTCCTGAGATCTGTGAGTTCGAGGCTAACAGGATGACTGTGGAACTGGCATGCACAGCAATAGCTCTGAACCAGCTACAAACTCCAAAAACAATGTGTTTTGTGGGTTACAGTAGCATGTGACTGCTTAGTAGTTAGGGGGAACTATGACATGAGAAGCTGTTAGGAAAGAATGGAGAAAACAGAACAAAACCGAGGGAAGTGTAGAAATCCATGGTTATACCACATCTTAAACAGAGTGCTGCAATTCCTAGTTACCTTGTGTAATTTAGAAAAGGATAATTTAAAACTGAAAGTAGTATATACAGAGTAATATGGATAGTAAAAGATACAGAACAACTTCTAGAGAGAACAACTAAACAGATCAGAGCTCTGACCTGGAGAAGAGCTATTTCAGGCTGGAAATGGTGGAGTTCAGTGCAATCAGAGATGGCATTCAGAAATAACAGGAATCAACTTTCAACTTAATTACAACACAAGACATCACATGAAATCAGTGAATGGTAGGCACAAAGCAGGAGAGAAACATTTTCCTTGCTTTTTTTTTTTTTTCAAAGCATAATCTACTGCAATTAAGTTTAAGAGCTCTGCCCATGGATCCTGTGAATATCAAAAGTTTATATGATTCTTAAAGCAATTAGAGAAGCACACAAAAGTTAACTGTCAAAAGCCATTGAATATAAAAATATTTCAGTAAATCACTGAACTGCAGATCTTCATAGGTTTAGAGAACATTTCAGGGACATATCACTACAGGCTCAGTGTTCTTATGTTTCAGTCAAAGGATGATAGCACAAGCATGAGTAACAAAAAACTATTCTGAAAATGACAAAAAAGTGTTCTCAATGAGTTTTCCAGCTGGAGTAACAGGGAGCCAAAAACTAACTGCTTTTGAACAGGGCAATAAGGAAGAGGATTCTATAATGCTGGAGAGAAGATTTGGATTTGATGTCCCACAAAATCCCTCTGTTCTTATGTTCCTATAAGACATGTTCCTACGCTCTTTAGCTTCCCAGGTCAGATATTTCCTAGCTCAGCTTTATCCCCTCTGAACAGAGAAGTTCTAGATAAGCCTAATGTTGAAAAACATGCCACTGTTACATAAGGGTTTCAATAAAAGGGGCTTTTTACCTTTGCCCCTCTCCTCTGGGGGTCCACCTGGAGCATCCATGTCTCTGTGGTCAGAGGTGCCCGGTCCATCGTGCCAGAGGCGTTTCCGTGGTGGCAGTGAGGCCATGTCCATACCCTGGAGCGAGGAAGAACGTTCTCTGCTGGCTGGAGAGTGTCCCTCGTGAGGAGGGTGATCTGGACGAGGACCTGGGCACAAAAACACAGGATAATGAGTAATGTTCACTGGGTCCTTATTCCTCAGTTTTGGAGGCAGTCACACAAATTTACATACTGCCCACACTCTTTGGCACACAGTTTAAAGTTCAAATTACATAAAGCTTCCCCTGTCCCATTATTTAGTAAGAAAGCTAAAGGTAAAACAGGTGTTTGATGGGAAAGAAAAATGTGGCAGATTTTATACTGAAAAGTGTTCTTTTCAGTATAAAATGTTTTCATCATTTTAGAGGCATTCATTTATTCACGTGTCATTTGTGCTCATTTTTCCCATGACATTCTACACAGTTTTGCCCCATATGAGGCTGCCATTTGTAACACAAATGCACATACCAACAAACTGTCAGACATTGTAGCTGAAAACATTATTCTTGCAAACAAAGAAGATGCCAAACAAGTGAAAGATTACTACTGGCATTAATATATATCTTAAAAAACACACAATGACTGTGATTCAGTCATCCACAAGGGACAGCTGCCCAGGCAGTTCTGGGCTGTACAAGAACTCAACTGAAAATCAAGACTTTGAGGCCACAGTAACTTTTTGTTCAGGAAGACAGTTGTATTTAGAGTCAGTTAAATTCTGCATAATTCTTTTTTTCCTAAATTTAAAAGACTAAAGAACTGTGTTTGGCTTTTCTCATGGTAAAATACTGGTAACAAACACACAAGGTACAATAAAAAGAGGTGATTTTAAAATACTTTTTAAAGTGGTTATATTGTAGAAGTCTACAAACCTGACCAAATGTTTTACCTGGTTCTCTGTTTCCATCCCAGGATTCTGGTTTCCGCCCTCCTTCAAAGCGTGGAAATTCATCTGGAGTAGGAAGCAAACCCTTCCGGGCTCCTGAGCAGTAAGAGAAACAGGGGACAGGAGTGAGAAAAGACACTGCATTCACGAGAATACTGTTTGCCCAAGAAATGCCCTTCCTTCCTCCTTGCATTTCCATGTGGAAGAACGTTCCCCTCACCTCTCAGAGCACCGCGACCTCGCCCCCGGACACCATGGTCCCTTCCTCTGGAGTTTTCATCTGGAGAGTCAAAAGCGTCATCTGGCCCAAAATCTTCAGGGCCAGGAAAGCCATCTCTGCCCCTGGGTCCCCGGCCCTCATGTCTCGAGGGTCCTCCTCTTCTGAAGCTGCAAGAAAGAACACGATACAAATATGGGATTTAGGTAGAACTGAGTCAGGTTCAGTTTTATAATCAACTCATTTCTGAACTGTTTCACCTAATGCTACAGCACATACAGTTACTAGAACAGGATATGTAGGTGGAAAAGTGCTCATTTGCTGCCTTCGAGCACTTTCATAGCCATTTTTGTAGTTTTCCCCTCATATTTCCTTCTGTTGATTGTGTTGGCTTTTCATAGAAGGAAAATTTTGTTAAACATACTGCATTCATTTAATGAAAAGGTAGGAAAAAAAAATAACGAGTGATGATAGATGTAAGGTGAGGTAAGGCAAGGAAAAGTAATTTTCCCTTAACTGTGGTGGTCTTACATTTCCATTCCCTTTTTCTCTTTCCATTTTGGTGATAAAACAAACGGAAAACACACAAGCAATGAGAATCACGGCTATAACAAAATATCCCAGCATCTCATTCCTATTGATTCTATAATTCTTTTGCCAAAATATTCTCTTTTTCATTCCATTCTTCAAAGTTTACAACTTTAGCAAGTGCATCTAGACTGCCCTTGGCTCTGTAGGGACAGTGATGGTGGAACAGCACACAGCAGCATTCTGCAACCTGAAGAGCAGTTTATCCAGCTGCAACAATCAAGAACTTTGTGTTGCAAAATGTAGTTATGGCATTGAAGTTTGATAATTGCCTTCTACTTCTACAGCATCTTCAGGAATTTGGTATGACTGGATTCTCCACCTCATCTTAACTGAGTACAGTTCCTCCAGCACCGCACTGGGGGGGCCTGGACAGCTCTCCAGAGAGGAGAATGGCTCTTACTGACCTGTCAGTGCCATGTCAGGTCAGCCTGCAGATGGCTGCATGAATAATTAATAGTTTTGTTTCTGACATGACCAGTTGAAACACCTGGAGTGCTTGTAAAGCACATCCATGTTCTGTGGTGACTGCCCCTGGAAGGTGCACGCCAGCCTCAGACACAGCCCAGGGTCTCTGCAGGCACAGGGCGAGTGTTTAGGTGGTGCTGAGTCCTCGCCGTGCCACCCCACCCTCAGTGACAGCACACAGTGTGGAGCATTCCTTGCCCAGTCACAGATGCCCCCCACCTCCCTGCTGTTCCCAGTTCCACACTGGCCAAACTGGAGCCACCACAATATTCCAATGCTGTTGGCTGTGTGCAGCATCCCCTTCCCCAGCTCATTAACGACACAGTGCATCCTATTACAAGCAAAACTTTAGATACTTTTATTTAGAATTTTAACAACATTAACCTTTTAATTACAAATTTAAATATTTTAACAGTAGTCATAACACAATACAATATTTTTAAACTTTTACATTGTTTTTAATAAAAAACAATAGGTCTGTCTCCACCTCCCAGAAAACAAGCACAATACAGAGAGGAGGCTGCTGTCCCTGTACAGGTACAACAGTGAATGGAGGAGTGCTGTGTACGGACCATGAACCATTTACATTAACCTGGATGGTTTAGGAAAACAAACTCAACAGTTTCAGGTACAAATGGTTCAGATAATCACAGAGCAATATTGTTTAGCCTTGAAACAGCACAGTCCTCTAGATGTTTCTTAGAGGGCCTCCCACTTTAATACTGACATGGTGTGATTCTGCTTAGGCTTGAAAATTACCAAGATTTGCAACACAAGGCCCTAGGGCTGCAGGAACAGAGCCTTTCCTATTGCTTTCAGGCAACTTACGGACCCAGCTGAGTTTTGAAATCTACCATACCTATGCCTGACACAGCCACAGCCCCTAGAACTGTGGTATGGATATCCTCATTCACCTTTTCACATCAGTCACGCGGAAAGCCCTGCCTTGCATCGGGCTCAGTTCCCGTTTGACTGCTCTCATATCTTCTTCCTCGAGGCCTAGGACCTTACTGTACACAACTACACACTGTGCAGATTAGCAGGCAGGAAGAGGCAGGTCTCTGCAGTAGAAGCATCATGTTGATATGCACAGGTAGAGTAAGAACAGGACAGGGATGAAAAGGACGGGAAATTAGAGAGAAACATACATACACACATTTGCCTCTCATGCTTGATCAAACCGCTTACAATCTCAATTCTAAACCAAGTCAGCTAAAGGAGTGGTTGGGATTAAGTCCACCACAGCATCTGCAGTAAATGGCACCTTGTTCACCTTCATTCTGAGAAATTCATCGAGTTTACAAGCACAATGAGCCCTGTAGAGCTCTGTGCCAAATCACTGCAAACTCTGGACAAACACTTGTATTCTGATAAGCAGATTACTCTTAGTTAAAAAGTCAGGTTCTTGTTTCCCTTCCTGAAACTTCTGAAAAATCAGGACCATAATAAAATATTTTCCAGTCCCTAAGCGTTTTCAATATAAGATCTGAAAATCTCTACTGAGCTTCTAAAAGTGTTGTCTGCTATGTCTTTTTAAGTTCTCTGATGCAGACCATTCAGCTTGGATTCTCTCTGGCTTTACTTTTTAAAAATGGCTTTAATTGTTACCTTCTTTTAGTTACTGTTCATTTCTTTTCATACTCTTCACACAAAAGGAAGATACATCTTTACAGAGCTAGGTAGAAAATAGCTAAAAGAAGAGCTGTATAGATGCAAAGTAAAAGGAATGTAAGAAAATTATTTAAAAGGCAACTAAAACACACAAAATTCACATTATGTGGAGACCACAGCATATTTGTACAAGCACATGTTCTTATACATAGAGAGTTGGTGGTCAGTGAGAGGCTTAGACCTTGGAGGCCAAATTTCATTCAGTTAAACCAGCATAAATCTGGAGCAATTTTCCTGACAGTTAATCTTGAAGTCAGTGTAATACCTCCATATTTAAACTGGTAACTAGAAGCAAATTCATCCCTTTGTGATTTATTTGGAGATTGTGAGCAATGACATGAACATTGCTCTAAATCAGATTATTTTTGAGTCCTTTGCTTGGCATTAAGAAATAAGTCAGAAAGAGAAATAAAATTTCTACAAGCAAACACATAAGAAAATAGTCTCGACAGTCCAACAGATGCTGTAGCTCTGTCCCTTCTATCCAACGGTAGGATCACTGTTCCTGCTCCTTACAAGGACATTGCATCTCATCCTACAGTCTCTACATCTCATCCTACAGTCTCACGCTGTAGTTTGTGACTGGAGACAGTCTCAAAATCCACGTCTAATGTTCAAAAGTTTGTCACTTTAACCTTCATGTCTCCTCTCAATTTTCATCAAAACGGTCTCAAATCTTCATCCTGTGTCACTGGATCTTCTCTACAAACTTTCTCCCTTCTCTTTACTTACTGTTTACAGACACGGAAGCTGCTGTGTACAATGACCATTTGTCAAGTTTTCTTCTACTACTGAATGATTTTTATGGACTCTATACTCAGGTATATTAGAGTTTTCATTTCCTTATTGGTTTCCAGTTTATAAATCTGAAACAGATAGACTCCTTAATGAAAAGGAAACCAGGAAAAAAGAGTTCCCTCCATTTACCCTTTAACCCAAGAAAGAGAAGTAGATTTATTCTTACCTCTCATCTCGTCTTCCTCGGAAGCGTGCATCCTCAGGATCCCGTGGATATCTATCATCTGAAGGTCTCCGTCCTTCCCAAGCACCAGGAGGCCCACGGTTTGAACTGCCTCCCTCGAATTCCCTGTGGTCGGGAGGAAAGGGAGGCCCGGGTCCACCTCGTCTCCATTTCTCATCTTGCAGTGGTGGGCCCCCTCTCCCCTCGAACTCCCGCAGGCGATGGCCAAATCTCTTATCCGGATGGAAATCTTCACGGAAGTCGTCTGGTCGATCGAAGTCATCGTGGAAATCGGGGTGAGGTCCTCGTCTGTCTGGCAAGCCCCTGCTGTCTCTGCCATCCCCCCACTCCTGGCCACCTCGGAACAAGCCCCTCTCGGGCCCGTGCTCGGGGCCGCCGCTGTTCTGGTCGTGCCGTCGGTCGGACAGCGGGCCCAGGTGATGGTTTGGGGGACCACGGGTGTCACCTGCAGGAGAAAAAAAATCACAGCAGCTTTCTGTAACGTTTTCTAAAATACTCAAGGGTGCTCTAGTTCATACAGTTCTACAAAGCACACGATACATTTCACACTAACCAATACTTCTGGGAAAACTTTTCCCCTGTATTCCAGCCCACATCTATGGAAGCTCTCAGCCATTTCTCTCTGGAAGCACTGCACTGGGACAGCCCCTCTTTTAGGAGACTGACTCGCAGGAGAACATTTAATTACCTTTGTTAAGACCAGGTCCTTGGTTGTGAGGGCCAAGACGACCTTGTCCTCCCTGCTGCCCCAGGCCTGGTATCAGCGGAGGAGGACCAGGGTTCTGTCCATCCTGGGAGCAAGTAAGGAGAAAAGCCATGTGTGAGTAGTTTAAACATTTTGTAAGAGTGCAAACCAATTTTCTTTCCATAAAAACTGCATCTGCACAGGTTATACAACAGAAACAGCTCATGTTCCAATGGTTGCAGCCTCATTTTTCAGGCATTCATATCAGTAATGCTTTCAGTCACTGAGAAACACATAATTTTATAGGAACAGCATTTCAAGGATTAATGTTTTACTTATAACAACCAAAGATAATAAAGCTCATATTCTGGCTCAGTATGAATATTCTATAAGAATGTATTGAATATTCTATTCCTCTAGATGAGGAAACAGTGTATATTTGTTTGAAAAATATCAGGCACTGATTTATATGCAGTTAAAGAGCTGCATAGACCAAAGATTTCCTTTGATAATGAACAAAAAAGAGAAACTATATGTACAAAAACAAATATCAAGAATGTTGGGATGGGGGACAACAACAGGGCTGTAAGAGAACATTTCCTGTAAAACTCTAAGCTGTTAACATGGAAATACATGAGTTTCATTTTTAACATGCTGGCAAAGTTTTTTTTCTTTAATTTTAGGATTAAAAAAAAGTGCTAACTCTTGGCTAAATACCAAGTTGTTAAGGGGGTTTTCAGCACTGACAGGGCTAAAGGCAGGAGCCACAGTCACCTCCTTCCTCAAACAGAAGCAGCAGAGTGGGCAGAGGTCTGTGTATGTTATGTGACCCCAAAGAAAAAAATAAACTATGTAGGTGTCTTTTGTTACTTTCTCTCTTTTTTGTGTGTGAATTTTAGAGGATAAAAAATGCTCTTGAAATTTAGCTGCTGTCACAGACCCACGAAAGGCACCAAGTTTAGATGGACCCACTGTGGTGACACCGGTTGTTTGGACTATGGTCTGATTCTGCCTTAAAACAGCAAAGGCCTGAAAAAAGTCATCATTTGGGGTTTGTACTTGACTGGAACTGAAAAGGGGCATGTACAATATTTAGAAGTAATTACAAGATCCAGAAGTAAAAACGTGAACAAGACAGAGTTGCAACCTGCAGGAGTGCTATAAAAAACCTTCTTACGCTGACATGACCAAAAAACCAAAGTCCTCCCAGAAACCCCTAAACATGTAACATTTTTTTCCTAGACATGTCTGGTATGTAAGATTTAGACCTGGCCTTCATACTGACTTGTAAAAACCCCTCCAGACTTCAGGTAGTCTGGAAATACTTAAAGACCTGTATTCCATCACATCATTGTATCATAATTAGACTGCTTAACTTCTCCATGAATCAAATAATTTTCATGCTCTGCATTTATTCTGGAGAAACACTACCTTTTTTTTCTGTTTGCAGAGAAGCAGTAAGTTCATTCTTTGCATTTTTGCCATCATATCTTAAAATATGGTTTTAAATTAAACATTTATATTCAACTGCAACACAGGTGATAAATGCAAGAAAACCCACAAATATATACTACAAACATCATATCTGTATTGATTTATTTTGTTAGGATGTTGAAAAAATAAGCAAAATAAATGGCCAAAATAAAAAAACCTCAGACAAACCAAAAATACCTTCCTAGTTACTGAATGTTGACTTGAGTCCAGAACAAATCAACCCCCTGACTAGGTAAGATCCCTCTGCTGTTCCTAACCAAAACCTTGCCAGAGTTCTAGGATTTCTCATATATTTAGCATATGCTTACTTAAAATAAACATCATGGAACTTCTTCCATTTATGCCACTAGTGTTCAAGCAAAGCAGCATTTTTTAGCACTCACTAAATGAGTTTCCTTAGTGTTTAGCAGAAACCTTTATTTCAAACAAACCATGTTTTTGCCAAGCTGGGAACACAGAGCCCTAACACTGCATTTTCACCCGATTTTCCTTTCTAAATGCATTCTAGGCCTCAAGCAGGGCTTGAAACTGAAAAGTAGAGCTCAGAAAGAGATATCTTACTAAAAGCTGTAAATGGCCCTGTGTACCCCAGAAAACCTCTGCTTCCAGTGTATGTCAGGTACAGTAATAGTGATATCTTATAAAGATATTTCTAAGAGTTAATCTCTGTAAGTGTTCTTTATTAATGTCACAAGCCCTTGATAAAGCTGATATTCACACCCTTCTGCTACTGAAAAGGAAGGCAAGTGATTTGTACAAGATTACAGAAGATAAATGTCAAATTCAGAACACAAAACAAGCTAAAGCCTACTTAAAGAAAAAAAAACCACGGATGGGGCCTTTTTAAACAGGAACTGCTGCTATATTCATGTTACAAAGAAGCAAAATGGAGCAAAACCTGACATTATGAATTTTAAAATATGTTAATTTTGAAAAGCCATTACCGTACTAAAGGTGCACAAGGAAGAAGAAATGGTCAAAATACCTTGCTTTGTCATTTTTTTAGTACCTATAAAAGCCTTCCAGATAGCAGCATTCACTGAAAATAACCAGTCACCTGCCAAGAGCAGCCTGCTGAATTCTGAACAGTGTTAGCAGACAAGGACAGCCCTCCACATACATGGTAATTATTCTCAAAGCAGAAAAATCAGTCTCCCTGGGACAGCAATGAGAAACACTGTGCTGGTTTAAGTTATACAGATGTGGAACCAACGCTCATTTGCATAACTTGGATCCTTTAAAAAAATCTCAGCAATAGTGGCACATTAACAGACTTGTGGAGGGAATTACTGAATTATTGATTTGTAAGGAAAAAACAGTCAAATAAACCCACAATTTGCAGGTTACTCTGCCTCAATCTGAAAAGGAATCACTGAGCTAAAGCTCATTTCAATATGTCATTCTCACTGTGACTGGCACTGGAGTACACACTAAGAACTATATGTGCACATACATGTCCAAAGCTTTGACTGAAAACTACTGAGCACAGGTCTAAAAGAGTCAATTCTGGTTGAAAGACACCTTTTTTTTTTCCAAACTTCCCTTTCAAATTTCACCAACAACTGAAGACAGTTGAGAAAACTTAAAGTACAGAATTGGTGCCATCCAAATAGGAACTTGTGAGAGCCAGTAACCAAGGAGAGCTCTGTGTTTTGTGTGGTAGAGCAGAAAATGGAAGGTGCTGGAGAGGACAGAGCAGGCTGCAGCTGGTGCTGAACCAGACTTATCAAAGCCTGACTTGACTCCTGCAGAATCAACTGGTGTGCCTATAAGCAGCACTCTCCAGTATTCCAGGTCAGCTATGCCTAGTATCTTGCTGAGCTGGTGAACCCTCCTGGAGCTGATGCCAAGGCAGCAGGGCACAGGGACAACTCCTTGGCTGTCAGCACACACCCAGGCCCTGCTCAGCACTTCTAGCTCAGTGCTCATCACACCAGACCTGGGCTAGTCCTACACAAACCTGCTCAGTACCTGTGCTCCCTCTCCTGCTCCTCAGTAGGAGTAAGGAGTTCACAGAGGTCAAAGGCTGTCTCTGAACTCGTGCTCCAGGAAGTAGAGAGGTGGCTAAAGGCAGGGAACGGGACAGCTGTGTCCCTTTGCACTGAGTGCAACCAGACCTAAGCTGATTCCAGCTGTGTCAGCATCTATGGTAAATCCATCCCATAGTTCAGATTAACTACTCTGGATAACAGAGTTGGCAATAACATGCTTTAATTAATACATATGACTTTTCATTTGTTCAGCTTGTTTAAATTCAACTTTTATTAGTGCTTGTCTACTCCCCAGGAAATACCCCGCTTAAGACAGCTCAGGGTCTTTAAATTAAAAAAACCCTGAGTTTCTCTTAAGGTTACCTATTTTCACAGCAGATTGACTTGTGTAACAGTATTCCCAATAATCCTTTTTCCACAGTTAACTGTCATAGAATCACAGAATGGTTTGGGCTGGAAGATCACCTATTTCCCCTGCCATGGGCAGGGACACCTTCTACCTCTGCGCTTTCCAAGCTACAGAATCATTTCCATTATCACTTCAGTTTTCCTGAGGCCTCAGTCTTGCAAGGAATACCCAACCCGGAGCCTCTCAGCTCCTGCTGTGCGTTCCTACCACATAACAGTCATCATTCCCACCTTCTTAACACTCCTCCTGTTCCACAGAGCAGCACGTACCTGATTGAACGGGGGGCGAGGCCCGTCACCCAACAGAGGCGTTTTCTGCTGCTGGAAGGGCAGAGGGCCCTGAGAAGGGTGAGGCCCCCTCGAAGGGTTTGGCTGTCCCTGAGGTCCTTGCATGTTTCCTTGAGGCCCCACTAAGGAGCCTTGTGGAGGTCCCTGCTGGCCCTGAGGACCGGGTGGCCCACGCAGTTCTTGTGGAGGTCCCAACATTGTACCTTGGGGCGGGGGTCCCTGCAGGCCCCGCATCTCCTGGGGGCCATGTCCTAGTAAACCACTTTGCATATGAGGACCTCTCATTTCTTGTGGATGACCCATCATCATCCCTTGTGGATTAGGTCCCTGGTTATCTCTGGGTCCTGGTGGACCCTGCATCCCTCTTGGATTAAGTCCCATCAAAGGTCCTTGGGATATAGGGCCCTGCATCCCTTGAGATCCGGGAGCTCCTTGCATGCCGTGAGGAAGAGGTCCTTGCATTCCTCGTGGACCGGGTGGCCCCTGCATTCCTTGACCTCCAGGGGGACCTTGAGGACCCAAGTGACCTTGTGGGCCAGGTGGACCCTGCGGTCCCAAATGAGTCTGAGAGCCCGGCAGGCCCTGCGGTCCCAAGTGTCCCTGAGGGCCGGCACTACCCTGGGGACCTGGAGGCCCCATTGGCCCATGGGGGCCTGGATGTCTCTGCATTCCTTGATGTCCATGTAAATCCTGAGGCCGTGGCATTCCTTGTGGAGGCCCCTGGGGACCTGGAGGTCCTTGTGGTCCCATGAACCCTTGTGGACCTCCAGCTCCTTGGTGTAATGGACCTTGGGGTCCCGGAGGTCTGAACTGTCCTTGTGGACCAGAAGGTCCCATCTGAGGCATATTCATTGGCATCTGCTGAGGTGGAAGGGGCTGCTGAAAGCCTTGAGGCATCTGTGACATAGGGCCTTGCCCTGGGAAAGGCTGGGGTCCATGGAGAGATCCTCCTGGGGGCGGTGGCTGCACTTGCTCTGCTTGCTTTTGTGCAAGTCTCTCAATTTTCAATTGCTGTCCAAAAAAAAAAAAGAGACCCAGAAAATCAAATAAGCACAGAAATATGTTACAACTAAAAATCAGAAGCCATCATTTCATTTCTCAGGAGTAAAAATGCTTTTCTTGTAGTTAACAGAAATAACTAACTAAAGAGAAATCACTAACTGACGAGACCCACAGATCAGTGTCGGTTATCTGAGATGTGGGGGCCTCACTGAAGGTTTCCCAGCATCACACATTCAGTGCAAAATCCTCATCAGGTGTCTTTTTACAAAAAGGTGAAAACAGCATTACAAAAGGAAGCTGCTCACTTTAGTGCTGAAGTCCAAATCTATCACATAGAGGACTAAAGAAAATTTGCTAATAAGTGTTTCCACACAAACCTCCAAGAGCTGTGGGTTTGTGTACTGAAGTGCTGCCATTTCCTGCTCAATCTCTGCCTGGGATTTCTTTTTCTCCTCCAGCTTAATATCCTCCTTTCTATCATTCAATGGCTCAGGTGGGGGAGGCAAAGGAACTTTATTCTGCATCCACGCCTATAAAAATTAGGAAACACAAGATTAATTATGCAGAACAACATTTATACAACACATTGTTGCATTGAAAAAGGATGTGCTGAAACACTGTGTAGTATGGATACAGTGTGGATACTTGGAAGCTAAAACCAATGCTGAATACAACTTCCACATCTTGTAACTTTTTTCCTGGTGTAGATACAAGACATAAGGGATTTAACCAAGTATTTTTATGTTTAAATTGTAATTAAACTAGCTACTGTGATAAATGGCACTGGGTGTTGAAATAGAAGTGCTGATACTGGAAATCCAAAACATTTCAACAGCCACACACCTTTTGAAGTTGGGAAAATAACAGATTATTTTGTTCCCTGTGTATCAGGTACTCACCTGCTGAAACTGAGCTGGTATTGGCTTTGCATAGGGAACTTTTTTCTGTGGCACTTTCTTTTGGTCCTTTTGCATTACTTCCTCCATTCCCCAATCCAGTCCTGGGATTGTCATTTCAATGTCATTCGACTCATCTTTCCCTTTGGCACCAGGGGAACAAACAGTCAGAGCAGGCTTACAGAGGGATCCTTTATTATTTTTACAGCTTATTTAGCAAAAGAGATCAAGAGGTTTCCAGCTCCTCCTTCTTTACACAGGAAATACACACAACACAGAACTTCAGAAAAAAGCATCTGTGCTCTCAAAAAATATGAAAGGAATGAAAAAAAAGTCACACAGTATCTGGATTGCTCAGTAAAATGCTTCTCCTTAGCTACTACTTACCCATCTGCTCCTGCTCCATGGCTATTTTCAATTGTTCAGGTATTCCCATGCCAGGAATAACTGCCAGGCTGTTGGGTTCCAGATCATCTAGAGAAAAAACAATAAATAGTTATACTTGGAACATTTTTCTTTACCATTTTATCCCTTTGGATTCTTACATGCTGTTACCATTAGTATCATATCCCAATAGTAAATACACATTTTACAACTGGAGGATCACTTTTAGTTCCATACATGAATTACAGGATAGAAAAAGAACTGCAAATTCAGATTCATAAATACATGTCAAAAGAAACTATGCCTTTTCAGCAAAGTTACATTTAGGGTATAACAGATAACCATTCCCATTTTTGTTATAACAAATCTATATATGTTAAAACTTAAATGGGATTAAAGTAGTGCACTGTAATTAACATTCCCCACATCAAAAGAGCAAATAATCAAAAATCTGAAGAAACAGATGAGTGGCTGAGGCCCACCCTGAGCAGCCTAAAATTACTGAAATAAGTCCTTAAGAGGGCAGTAAAGTTTGAAGATTTTAGTGAAGTTCAATAATTTGAAAGCTTTTCGTGCTGTAGTTCAGGACTGTGGGAAGTCTTGAAGACAGCTGAAGTTTTCAGGAAGCAAAGTAAACTGGAGATATTGCCAGAGGGAGAGCCAAACCTCCTTCCTGTGATTGACAGAGCAGGTCTTACCTCCTGGAGCTGTGGAAACAGAACAAAGCTCGTTGTTGGAATGGTGATCACTGACAACATGGAGAGTAAAATCATCCTTATGAAAAGGTATCTTTGACTAGGTGGTCAGCAATACTATAATTCTGCTTCCTCACCTTACCCACAAGTGTCAGCTAATGATCCCAACCCTCTTCCTTCCACAGGGAGGAAAATTGCCTTACCATATTCCACACCATCCTCTGACATCCCAGGCAGCAGGTTCAAGTTGTAACGATCTCGCATTTTATCTCCAGGCCGATTTCTAGTCCAAAACTTGCTGTCAAAAGGAAGTTATATCATCTCAATAAGGGGTCAAGAGCATTAACAACTTTTAATCTAATTAGTTTTATGATTTTTAGTGTGCTATCTTGATTATATAAGGATTCAACTCTTACTAAATCAAGTTCAGTTCTAGATCTCACCTCTAGGTGTGAGGTTCAAACCAAAAATAAAAAAAACCTACAAGTATCATAATGAATTATAAAATTACAAGTTAGAAGATGCTTCAAAGTATAATGGGTATAAGTACAAGGCATCAACATCAGATCCTGAACAAATATATTTCTAGTCCATTCCAAAACCTTCTTGCTCAAATATATTCTTCATATGTACAAAACACACATTCCCACACAAAATCATAGAATCATAGAATCGATTGGGTTGGAAAAGACCTCCGAGATCATCGAGTCCAACCCTTGGTCCAAATCCAGTCCATTTACTAGATCATGGCACTCAGGGCCACGTCCAATCTGCGTTTAAAAATCTCCAGGGATGGTGAATCCACCACCTCTCTGGGTAGCCCATTCCAATGCCTGATTACTCTCTCTGTAAAGAATTTTCTCCTGATATCCAACTTAAATCTCCCCTGGCGGAGCTTAAGCCCGTGCCCCCTTGTCCTATTGCTGAGTGCCTGAGAGAAGAGACCAACCCCCACCTGGCTAGAACTTCCCTTCAGGTAGTTATAGACGGTGATGAGGTCACCTCTGAGCCTCCTCTTCTCCAGGCTAAACAACCCCAGCTCCCTCAGCCTCTCCCCATAGGACTTATGCTCCAGTCCCTTCACCAGCCTTGTTGCTCTTCTCTGGACCCGCTCCAGCACCTCAATATCCTTTCTGAACTGAGGGGCCCAGAACTGAACACAATACTCAAGGTGTGGCCTCACCAACGCAGAGTACAGGGGAAGGATCACTTCCCTGCTCCTGCTGGCCACGCTATTTTTGATACAGGACAAGATCCCATTGGCCTTCTTGGCCACCTGGGCACACTGTTGGCTCATGTTGAGCTTCCTGTCAATTAGTACCCCCAGGTCCCTTTCTGCCTGGCTGCTTTCCAGCCACTCTGTGCCCAGCCTGTAGCGCTGCAGGGGGTTGTTGTGGCCAAAGTGCAGGACCCGGCACTTGGCTTTATTGAACTTCATCCCATTGGAATCAGCCCATCTCTCAAGTCTATCCAGATCCCTCTGCAGAGCCCTCCTGCCTTCCAGCAGGTCGACACTCCCTCCCAGTTTGGTGTCATCAGCAAATTTGCTGATGATGGACTCAATCCCCTCATCTAAATCATCAATAAAGATGTTAAACAGGACTGGACCCAACACAGACCCCTGGGGAACACCACTGGTGACCGGCTGCCAGCTGGATGCAGCTCCATTCACCAGCACTCTCTGGGCCCGACCCTCCAACCAGCTCCTAATCCAGGAGAGGGTACACTTGTCCAAGCCATGGGCTACCAGCTTTTCCAGGAGTATATTATGGGAGACAGTGTCAAAGGCCTTGCTGAAGTCTAGATAGACCACATCCACAGCCTTCCCCTCATCCACCAGGTGGGTCACCTGATCGTAAAAAGAGATCAGGTTGGTCAGACAGGACCTGCCCCTCCTAAACCCGTGCTGGCTGGGTCTAATCCCTTGTCCATCCTGAAGGTGCTGTGTGATTGCACTCAGGATGATCTGCTCCATAACCCTGCCAGGCACCGAGGTCAGGCTGACAGGCCTGTAGTTGCCAGGGTCCTGCTTGCAGCCTTTTTTGTGGATTGGGGTGACATTCGCCAACCTCCAATCATCTGGGACCTTCCCAGAGAGCCAGGACTGTTGGAAGATGATGGAGAGCGGTTTGGCAAGCTCTTCTGCCAGCTCCTCATCACCCTGGGATGGATCCCGTCTGGTCCCATAGACTTGTTAGGATCCAGCTGGCTCAGTAAGTTGCTAACTACATCCTCCTGGAATACAGGAGGGCTATTCAGCTCTCTGTCTCTGTCTATCTGCTCTAGAGGCCAGTTGTTCTGAGGGCATCTTACTGCATTTATGAAATGCCCCATGTTTACAGCATGTTCAATCTAAATACACAAACTACAGCCTCCAAAGAGTTTTGCAATGTGAAAAGACAGACACGACCAGCAGATGATCTGCAGAAAAAATTGCTGTCGAGATAACAATATTTCTTCAGCAAGAAACTGCAATAATTCTTTTTTAAAAATTTCTTAAGGAGATTTCAGAGCTCCAACAACCCAAAATTCTAGTATTTTTTAAGGCTTCCTTAGATGAAGGACAAGAAGTTAGACTCTACCCTGTAATGTAAAATGTCAGAGCCTTCCCATTCACATAAGTTGGTGTCTCTGCTTTGGCAACTGGTTGTGTATTAGAACCATCCCAGTCTATCTGTTCACTGGTGCCAGGCAACTTTCTAGTTTCTAAATGTACATACATTCTCTTAGACCTTTTCTTTAAATACTTGAAATTACCTGGTGTGATCATTAGAGCCTGAACAGAGAATGTGTCCGAGGGGATGCCATGCCAGGCTCCAGATCATTCCTTCATGGGCCATTTCCATTCCACCAACCTCCTTCTCAACCCTGATGTGTAAAAAGAAAATTTAAACAAAAAATCAGTCATACATAGCTGAATATCTGCTACAGCTACAATACAAAACTTTTGTTATTCAGTTGTTCATCCTCTATCCCATATTTTGTTAAACTTAAGCCTCTGTCATTTTTCTATTGGGTGAACTGATTGTTCCCAGTGGTTTTTAATAGGCAATTCAATAATGTAGGGATTTTTAACTGTACATTTCAAACCAAAATAACTACAGCACCTCAGAACAAGCTTTAAGAAACTAGGAATTTCGACCATTCACCCTCTCAACAAAAGGCTGGTTTTGTGCAAGTAATTGTATCCTTTAAAACACACCTGTACAGGAAAACCTCTTCATAAATGAAGCACATTAACAAAGTTCTCAGGTACAGAGAAAAACCGTACCATAACCATGCAGGTTAAATTCAGACTCGAAGGAGAAAAGGATACTTTCTGTTTAGCTTTCACACCTGACCAACATGTTTCCAATGTGCTGATGGAAATGCCACATACCCAACATGCCAGAACAACAAGGACCCATCAGATCCTCCGCTGGCGAACAGCCCTTCATGAACAGGATGCCAGGCCACAGCTGAAACACAGAGTAAGCCACGATCAGAAGCCATGACACTAGGATTTCTGATGAATGGAAATCAGGACCTCAAAAGCTTTAATTTTTAATCCAAACTTAATGATAACAGTCCACATAATAAAACAAATTCTGACCTGTGGCCTCTTTCTTATGCCCCCTGAAGACCTGCAGTTCCTCTTTCAGGTTACGGATGTCAAAGAGCTTACAGAGGTGGTCACGAGAAGCTGTCAGCAGCCAGTTGCCATTGAGATTCAGTTTCACCTCCATCACTGTGTTTTTATGAGCATGTCTGCAAGCAGAGAAAGGCAGACTGTTTGCCCCAATAATTATTTTTCAGACACAGATAAAAACGTGTACTTTGCCGGTCACAAATATTCAGGTCAATAACAAAGGAGTTCAGGCTACTAAAGCAGAACACTGGGGCTTTCTGTGCAAAGGTCCTACGCTTTGATCCTGGTCTTCTGTACTTCAGAGCAACTGGTAGTGCTCCCTGAGACAGTTACTACGCATATTTCTACTGTAGCATAAGAAAGCTTTCATCAGCCAGATGAAACATCTCATTTGTTTTTCCATATTTCAATCTGAATGAGAACTGTGTGACTAGGAGGTCTACAAAGAAGGACAAAGTAAATTTAAATAAGGAATACATGGAAATCGCAATTTTCCAAGTACAGACTTGTCTTCATCTGACCTCTAGATGTTCTGGCAAGCTAAAGCCTTATGTTTGAAGCAATTGTGTATGGCTGAAAAGATGTTAGGAAAAGAGCTAAGTAGAAAATTAAGAAAAAATTATTTTATGAAGTTAGCTTATATTTGAGCAACTCAAAAGTCTGTGGGCAAGAACTTACAGTGTGGCAAGGCTCTGGCCAGTCTTTGGATCCCAGAACTTGATGGGTTGTTGGCTATCTTTACTTCCCGAAACAACTAATCCCTTTGTTGGATGCCAGTCAACACATTTCACATCTGCTCCATGTCCTGTTAAGAAGATAAAAACCATTCATTTTGAGATTTTACGGACACTGAAAAGACACTGAAAAATTACAGGGTGCACATCTTCTAACTGTAACGTAAAACTGAATGAAAAACATCACAGAGCACAAGTCACAAAACATAAAATCAAACAAAAGAAAAACTCTTCCAAGTTATTTGTGTTGCATTCTTTTCCCAGTAATTGCTGCGAGCATCTCCTGGGACTGCAGCCTCAAATCAAGCTCACTTCACCAAGAGAAAAATTCTCTAAGAAGTTTCTGCTCAAATTGGAACTGTTCTTTAGGCTTTGGCCCTATACAGTTAGACAATATTTTAAATGTAACACTGATGAAGCACTTGTATGGAGGTGGTGAGGGAAAATAACACTGTGACACTTTACTTTCTATGAAATACTGTAGAAATGAAAACCAGATACCTATTTCTTCCTATCTTATCAGTACTACCCTTTTGCTGTCCTGTCAGAAAATAAGCAAAGAAATTAAATAATGGACCTGAAAACTAAATTAGTATACCATGAAAAGAAACCTTATGAGATGTGACCTTTTATCAGGTCAGAAGGATTCAGGTTTTTCTAATGCTCAAGAGTTAGGAGAGAAAAACTCCTGTGATATACTTTCCTTTCAAACTGACTGACTGACCTTGACAGAGAATCAGTGCTGCTCAGATGAGCTAAAAACCTGTCAAAAAAAGCGCCTATTCCTGCTGCATGACAAAATGAGGTTTCTGAGCTGAACTATAGGGGTTTAGAAAAGAAAAAATGAACAATAATTTCTTTCTCCAATCTCTCTCCAAGCCAGCCCACTTCAAGGGAAAGCCAACAGTTATAGTCCATCTCAGAAAATGAGGCAGCATGCAGTGACTGAAGAAAAAAGCAAGATGAGAAAGGAAGGGCTGTCTGCAACATGAAGGCACAGAGGTTATAAAATGGCATGGAAGAATGGGAGCGTGTTCCAGGAAAGACAAAGGGTTCCCATCAAGTCAGACAGCTCCCACACAGACTGCTTTAAGCAGCACAAGCTGTCTTAATAGAGATCTCACTTTGAAAAGACATTAAGAAGTAGTATTAGTTGAAATTTTTCTGAGGCCACAGAAAAATCAAATTAGAATAACCAATACACTTGTATCTTAAAAGTAAATTGCTAACACAGAGAGCACTCTCTCCATCAAGTGAGTGCAAACTTCCCCCCCTCTGGAGGAAAGGACAGACAGGCAAGAGGTTCTTGACCCAAGAAGAAATGAACACAACTTTGGTAAGTACACGGAAACAACTTTAAGAACTGACTGATGATATGGATTAAAGAACCCCACTCTCCTCCCCCAGCCATAGCAGGCAGAATTGCCCTTGGAATATGCGGGGTTTTAGGGAAGAGCAGGAATGTCAGGCTCCAAAAACCATCAATGTGCTGGGGTGCTCTGTGCTGCCAATAGAGGAGCACTCTAAGATGTGTTTCCCTTCTCTCTGACTCCTCTGAAATTAGAGGTACTGTCTGTCTGGATCTGCTCTGACTAAATCTCCCTCTCAACTAAAACAGGAAGCTGAAGGCTGAACAAACCTTGCTTCCAAGGGTTTATCTGGAAGGGACAAGCCAGACAGTAGTAAGAGAGAAAATGCTCCTCCCTCCATAGTGGAGGGTAATTCATGCTTGAAGATTTCCAGCTGATGATATTCCATAGGTAATTATCCTGCAGTCCCCAGGGAAAGACAAGGGATTTTAATTCAAGGGCAAAACCAGGCCCTTACAGAGAAACATTCCATTACAGTTAATAATTGATTGAACTGTATGAAAATGTGTTCAGACTAGAATACTTCAGTCCCATCATAAATATGAAATAAACAATGCCCAGCAAAACGATAAAAAACCCCTTCCCACGTGGACTGGAACGACATTGGCCTTGCTGCTCGAAATAAAGACAATTAGGAATGGAAAAGCACAGAGAGACACAGGGCTACTCTGTTTGGTGGGAAAGAGTGCATCCAGAAAATGAGTGATGCTGGTGAAAGGCCATCCCTGGGTGACAGCTCATCCTGTGCAAGGCCTGGTTTAGGCTCTTCTTCCGAGACCTAACCTGAGTTAAGCCAGCCCAAGTATGTACCCTAAGAAGGCTCAGCATGGGCAATCTTTAATGGAGCAATTGAAGCACCCACCCTTCCAACTTCTTCAAAAGGGAGAGGCAGTGACAGACAGCACTGATGGGCTTCTGAGAGCCAGGTTTGAAAGCTGCCACCCACTAGGCCCAGACCACAAAGCTGAAAGGCAGTAAAAGATGCCAGGACACTCAGAACTTGTAACCAGAGCAGATAAACCACTGGGTACTCATCAGAAAGCTTTTGGCCATCAGCACATTAATATTAACCACAAGGACGAGAAGAAACTTCTACTATTTAAAAACATAACCACTGTAATGGTTATGTAATCATATATATGATTAAACAGGTAACTGGCATTTCCTGCAGAGAGCACTCTTTCAACCATGTGCTCTGGATTAAGGCTACAGTGGGGGAAAACTGGGACCCTCCTTTGTAATCTGTCAAAGTGATCTATTCTGTCCTCAAGAGAGCCCTCTAAGACAAAGCTCTACATGAAATGGGATCATACATACACTTAGCTCTTGGTTCCTAAAGCTTTCTCAAGAGAAAATAAATTCTTCCCTACAACAAATATGCTTTAAATAAACTATTCCCAAGGGATGAACTAACTCAGAACATTTACATAACCGAAATAACTCAACAGCATCATCTAATCAGACCTTTTAAAGTTTCTTTTTTAATTGAAGTAACTGACACTGTATATTGCTTTTCCTTTTTTTCTGCTGATAGATGTACACACTACTACCTATAATGAGACAGATAATGCAGAAAATACATGTAAAATAACACTCCAGAGAAAGAGCTGCCTCGCAGATTTTACTTCATAGTTGCTTTCAGTTCTTAGTTCTGGGCTAAGACCTGTGAATCAGCTTCTCCTCTGGTACAAAACCCCCTTGTCACCAAACACCACACTCAGAAAACCTTAATTCATGCAAATCTCTACAGTTTATATTCCCCATTTGCTGACAACAGCTTTGGCTCAGTAACTTCAATAGTCACACACCTCAGAACTGCAGGGTGGGAATTCCTCTCTGAACAACTCCTGCACCTTGAGGCCCTACCTGCAATGGGCACAAACCTTCTACCACTTTCTTGTAGGGATGCTTTATGGATAAATGAATTGAAATGTGGGAACTGTTTACAAGTTGTGGCAAGGGAAGGCCCATAAACCAACTAAAATGAAAGACTGAAGGCAAAGATTTTGGTTGAGGAACTAAACCTATTCAAAATCATGAGTGAATGTCTAAGAATAAATACTAATTGTTGTTGATTTCACTTAAATTTTTTCCAACCTTTTAAAAAAATCTGCAGAAAACCAAAAGCAAGCATATGTAGTATCTTAAAGCTCAAATACAAAAGTAGTTCTCTAATGTTATTTTTCATATGCATAATAAAATGTTTTAATTGGGTGCCCTTAGTCATAATCCTATTAATTAAAATTGTTAATACTTCTAGTCAACTTCTTTCAAGGGTTGTTCTTTAAAAGACACTGAACAGAAATCCTGGTTAGTGAAAAGCATAACAAGCTATAATAAGATTGAGTAGTAGTGTTTGATCAAATCAAGTCTGTCACAAGTCTGAGAAAGTACACATAATTTTTTTTCCCTCTCACACTAATTTCTGCATTTATGACTTAGTGAATATAGGGTTGGTTTGAATCATTGTCTTCATATTACAGCCTATAACATTTATATATTTTACAATGTAACTGTACAGCAATTACAGATATATCAGGTTTATTGCTGTAGCTTAATTTTTCTCTTTTAAATCCTTTCCCCTAGGGATTAGCCCCATTCTGAAGGCACATAAATTGAAAGAGAATTTTATAAATGATACTGTAGAATTTCTAGATCCTTCTCAGCAATTATGTGGATGTATATACACATACTGAGATGCCACTCTTAAGGCAGCTTCTTACATTTTAACATCAATGTTCCAAAGAAAATGGATATTTATATCAATATATATTTTAAAGAATTAACATAATCATTTAACTACAAAAATACTGTTTCTCATTTAGAGAGAATTCTGTTTGCTTGGGTTTATTTGTTCAAAGACAAGTGGTTCTCTTATGCTGTTTTAAATAGAGAGTAAATTCAGCTGTGTATCCCCCACTTGGACCGGTCAGATCGAAGCGTTTTCGTCACCACACAGTGACATTCACCTTCCCATACTGTGTACCCCCAAAAACACCTCTCAGAAGAGCAGGGTCTTTGCAGGGGATTATTTCCAAGGGATCTGCAAAGAAACATCAGGTCTTACTACCACACAAGCTAATGCTCTCCACCTCCAAGAAAAGAGAGGGCAGGGAGGAAGAGACAGGAGAGAGACCTGCAAGTCAAAGATAATGGAAACAACCATGTCAGAAGAAAGGTGTTCTAAGTTTTCTACATAATTCCCTTTAACCTTACTTTTTGCTTCCAGCCTACTAAGCAATTGGATTATTCTGCCTGTTCCATTTTTATGAGAGGTTTTTAAAATGTTACCTGATGGTTCCCCATTCCCCAGCAGTTCCCTGCTTCCATGTACAGCTCACTTCGGGACCGAACACCTCACACCTGCAAGAACCTGGGTACTGTCCTGATCACACCGACCGAGTTGGCAGCAAGGGTAATGTATTTAATTCCAGTAATTTAGTGTTCTTTGCCCTATCACATTATGTGAACTGTACTCCTCCCAGGAGGTGTCCTAAGAGCTCTTGCACTCCCTCTTCTCCTCCCCAAGAATGAGCAGCACAGAAACCCTCCCTCTGCAGATACACAGCGTGCTTATGCTTTTTAGCATAACGTGGGAGGTTGATGCATGACAAAATAAGGGAAAAGCTCTTTTCAGTCTTCACTGGATTAAGAACAATGCCTCCCACCATGCTTTCAGATCTCTGTCCCATGAACTCAAG